ACATCTTTAGTTACAGGGAGTCAACTTGCATATTTGTTTAATAAATTCAGGTGTGCGACTAAAGGAAGGCTGTAATATTAATCGGAGCTTATTTATCTTGGGACAAGTGATCAAGAAACTTAGTGATGGACAAATTGGGTAAGTTTATCCCATTGTGCACTCACTTATGGCTTATGTTTTTTATTAGGTTGGAATCTAATACTTGAGTTAATAATCAAGAATGTTGAATGTTGACATTTTTCACATAATAAAAATCTTTGATAATGTTACAGGATGACCCATTGTAACAATGAGAAATACAAGACACTATGTTGAAAATGAACTTTACAACTTCAGGGGTTGGGGAGAGAGAAATTGTGGAGGTGGGGAGGGAAGGGATGGTAGGAGATAAAGGAGGAGGTAACAATGCTCAATAGGAAATGTACTCATTACCTTACTCTTGTAACTGTAACGCCTCTGTGTAGTATTTTTACAATAAAAAATATATACAAAAAAATCTTTGAGGATTCTGTATACATATATATATATATGTATACAGAATTTATATTGTTTTGATTATTCCATTAGTTTTTATCAGCCTTATATACTTTATATGTTTTGCCTCATAATTCTGGAGTCAGATGCGCTACCGTTGCGTCACAAGGCCCACCAATGCCTCAGAATTCTGTAAAGAATTTTTTTAATGCTGTGACTGCTTTTCAGTATTCTGTGTTAAAAAACAAAAAATGCTTATTGTATAAAAATTATCATTTTTTTTCTCCCAAACTCACTTCTTGCTAAGTGGTTACATAAATTATCGAGATAGCAAATTAACACGAATTCTTCAAAACTCCTTGGGAGGAAATGCAAAAACACGTATTATCTGCACAGTTACTCCCGTGTCTTTTGAAGAAACCCTTAGTACTCTCCAGGTAAGCTTGATTTTTTTTTTTTCTCTTCCTAATATTAAAAGAAGATGAACTTCAAGGAGAAAAGAAAATGCCTGTTAAATTGACACGTTTCAATACAATTAATATGTTATTTAACATTCTTTAATTTTCCCAAACTTGAATGAATAATTTCTTTAATGTTTTTATAACTTTTGCCACATAAAACACCATTTCAACTGAAATTGACTGGATATTTTCTTTTAAGAAATTCAATTTATATACTTAATTTACCGTAAAGAGAAATTTGCCACACAAGTAGAAAGCAACTTCCCCAAAAATAATTCTTGAATTTTTGTTTACTGTGGACTGCTTTACTCTGAGTTAGAAGCCTGCAATTTCAATTGATAAAATAGCTTTTTTGATGGAGGATTCAGTCTTATTTAATGGTGGTCTTCATCTTCTCACTTAAAGTTACTCTTTGCAGTCCTGTATGAGCAGCATTGCTTTAAATACCTGTCGAGTAGAAAATAAAAATTCCTGTCATCACAGGAATTACAGAGTAGATAAGTAGTACCAAGCCTTGGTTTTGTTCTCAAGTGGCTAATAAGTAATCTAGCATCCAAAGGAAAGATAAGTAACTCTGGATTAGAAGTAATCTTCAGAATATAGCAAGCACCCCTGGCATGGATGAGATTCCAGAAAGCCATTGTTTATAGGATCTTGGTTGGTATATATCTTTAAGATATTTCTTCCATTTCTGTGAAGACTATGTTACCAAACCTCGTTAGAAGTATATATATAGGATGTTCTCTGTGTCCAAAAGTGTTAAGCCAACTGAGAATAATTATAAATTGTTTAATCTTGAGCATTTGCACTTCTTTTTCCCCAGTTTGCTAGTACTGCTAAGTATATGAAAAATACTCCTTATGTCAACGAAGTATCGAGTGATGAAGCTCTTCTGAAAAGATACAGGAAAGAAATCATCGATCTTAAAAAACAGTTAGAAGAGGTATGTGTGAATTGTTTCACTGAAGACTGGAATGAAATAGAATAAGGGAGATCTGCCCAAGAGACTAAATTTATGAATATCAGAGTTGCTACAACTTAAGTCTAAGTACAGTAACAGTTTTTTTCTTTCTTTTTTTGGGTCCGGTCATGGGGCCTGAACTCTGGGCCTGGGCGCTGTCCCTCAGCTCTTCAGCTCAAGGCTAGCGCTCTACCACTTAAGCCACAGCGCCACTTCGGCTTTTTTCTTTTTGCTTATATGGTGCTGAGGAATCGAACCCAGGGCCTCTGGCATGCAAGGCATGCGCTCTACCACTGAGCCACCTTCCCAGCCCAGTAACAGTTTTTTTAACCAAGAAGAAACCAACTCCTAAAAATTTAACTTTCAGGGAAGGGGTCAGCTTAATGATGGAGTGTTTGCCCTAGGATCAGTCTCCAGCACCTCAGAAACTATTTCTGGATTGAATATGCTATAAACTGAGATATCTGGCGATGGTTTTAGATTTTTATTTTTCATTTTCAACAGCCAAGATTTGACATGAAATTATTTTGTTTTTGTTTTTCAAATAAACCAAGTAGAAATACGTTTAAAAACTTTTTACAAATAATGACTGAGATTAAAAAGACATATCATGTTTACTTCCTTTTTAATTAGAATGTGTTAATTATACAAAATAATGGGATTGGTCTATTTGGATGGGTATATATAGTATACTTTGATGATATTTGTCACCCATTATCCTCTCTTGTACCCCCAGCCCTTTTCTAGGAACCTTTCTCTTCCCAAACAGTTGTCCCTCTTTTTTTTCTCTCTCTCTTTTTATTTGTCAATTATGGGGCTTGAACTCAGCCTTAGTGCTGTCCTTGAGCTCTTTGGCTCAAGGCTAGTGCTCTGCCACTTTGAAGCACACCTTCACTTCCAGATTGTGAGTGGTTAGTTGGAGGTAAGAGTCTCACAGGTAATTTTCTGCCTGGGCTGACTTCGAATTGTGGTCCTCAGATCTCAGCCTCCTGAGTAGCTAGAATTACCAATGCCCAGCAATTTTAGTGATCTTTTTAAAAAAAAAATCTAAAATAATCAGGTGGCAGTGTTAATAAGATAACATCTCTATTATCAGTATTTGAGTCAGTTTTTATGACTTCTCTGCCTATTCGTGAATTCATAGACAAATAGTAGAATAAGCTTACCTTAATTTTACTTAAACTTGCTCTGTATTCCCTAGTTTGTCAGATGAATGCAAAATAAACTACAATAAATAAAGTTATTTTCATTTCAATTAGGTCTTATTTTACAGTATTATCTGCTGTGTCGTGTCGTGTTGTGTGGGGGGAGGGTGTATGTGTGGGTGGTATGTATATCATCCAGGATGGAATTAAGGTCTGTGATAGACATGGTATTTTATTCCTATTGGATTTGGTTCAAGACAAAGGAAAGTTAGAATTCCACAGAAAAGGAGCTATATTCTCCTTTATGTGAAATTTCAGGCTTTCTGATATAGTTTATAATATAATATGTTCTAAAGTATATTCTCTAGGGGGAAAAACCCTGGATTTTGAAGATAATTGTAGAGAATTTCATCAATTATTAATATTGTTCTTAATGTTAGAGAATTATGAATTTCTAATTCTTTTACTCAGCTACAATTTAAAATGTTTGATGTTTGGGCTGTGAGTGAAATTTAAATAAATATTATACTATCCTTTTTATTTGTTAAAAATAAAATTGGGCCAGCTGCAGTGGCTCACGCCTGTAATCCTAACTACTCAGGAAGCTGAGATCTGAGGATCGCAGTTCGAAGCCATCTCAGGCTTATCTCCAATTAACCACCAGAAAAACCAGAAGTGGTGCTGTGGCTCAAAGTGGTAGAGCACTATCCTTGAGCAAAAGAGCTCAAGGACAGTGCCCAGGCCCTAAGTTCAAGCCCCATGACCAACTAAATAAGTAAATAACTAGAATTATTTAATAACATTGTTATCTTTTACCCTGTACATAGAATAGTGACATGAGAAGAAATATGCACTTTGCCTTCTTTATGTTTGAGAAATTCTTGGTTATGGAAATTATATATTATGGATTCTACATGTAGGGTAAATTTTTTTGCAATGGAAGTTCTCATAGATCATGTGAAAAATTAATATTCTGTTGTTTAAGCTTCTTTTAGGGTTTTAACAAAATCTAATACTACCTCCTGTAGGTAAATGTAAAAACTCGAGCCCAGGAAATGGAAAAAGACCAGTTGGCCCAACTTTTGGATGAAAAAGACTTGCTTCAAAAAGTTCAGGATAAGAAAATTCAGAACCTAACACAGATGCTGGTGACCTCGTCTTCTCACACATCTCAACATGAACTGAGGGTAACATTTGAAACTAATGGCTTGAAAGAGAGAGAGAAATAAGGAATGAGGGAGAAAGGATAGGTTAGGATTTTCTACATATTTAGTACATAATTATGTACTTCTTATTTAATGCAGTGTAGTATAAACTATTAGCAATGTGCTTTATAGCAGTCACTAGAAAATGTGGGAATATTCTCTATTGAAAGACATAGAAATATTAATCTCAAGAAAGCTGAGCTAGACTGGGCAGGTAGTATACACCAAAATTTGAGTACCTAGGAAGCAAAGGCAGAAGGATCTTAAGTTCTAGGCCATCCTGCACTATATAGTGAAACCCTGACAATAAATACAAACATGCATCAATAAGAAAACTGATCTGTAATAGAAGTCAATGGATGATCAAACCTATAGCTTCCGATTTGCATGCTTTTTGTTTTTATCAGAATATGGATTCATGGATTGAAGAGATGTTTTGGGGAGGGTGATAGTGTCAAATTTAGGAGGGTGGCCTCTGGAGTTGGACCAACTGGATTTGAATTCCACTTCAGTTCCTAACTCTAGACCTTAGAAAAATCTCACTAAAGGAAAATCAAATGGCTACCTGCGCTATAACTTTCTTATTCTTACCAATTAGAACTGGGTATCCAAAGTAGTAACCATAGCGATGACAGCATTTGTCCTCTCTGTGTAACACTACCTTTTTAACAGGCTCTGAAGCAACACTAGTTCCTTCCAAATAAATGCCAGAAAAGCTTGTAAGTATTCAAAACTGAAATTTAGAGGCCTAAGGATATAGTTCAGTGGTAGAGCATGTGGGTATTTAGCAGCACAAGGCACGAGGTTCAAAATCCCCACCAATAAAAAAAAGAGAGAGAGAAAATTAAGCAGTGTTTTTTTATCAAATTTATAACCAGAATAAACACTTATTTGAAAAATTTAAGGATGTTTTCTTATCTCAAAATATCCTTATACTGGTTCCCTTGTTTTTTTGTATCTGAGCTCAAATCTATGTGAAGTAATTTTGATTTCTCTTTCTTTAGGCTAAAAAGAAACGAAGAGTTACATGGTGCTATGGAAAACTTAGCAAAATGAAGGACTCAAACTATGTAAATGAATTTAATATGCCAGCAAATGTAACAACAAGAACACACACAAAATCTTTCAGTACACTGGGAGAAGTTGATGAGTGTAAGTGCCTTGTTAAGTGAACTGTATTTAATTATAAAAGATCCCTTTAAGGCTTCCTTATGTATTTAGCTAATGTGGTAAACACATTTAAATAAAATGTGGGTCATTAGATATGATTACAACAGAGATCGTAATTAACATTAAGAAAATAAACATTCATGAAATCCTGTTCATTTCAAATCTCTCAAAAATTAAGCACTACAATTGAAAATGAGTTAAGTAGTTTTATTTTTATTCCTGTTATTTAATTAAATAAGTACAGTAGTCATATCAGATCTTCCATTCTTAAAGTGGCATTTATACAGAAATCTTTTCAAAAAGGCACGTGCAGTGTTATAATCTATTCTTAGGGGCATTGTAAAACCTACTGGCAGTGATCAGATCTCACATTCCAAATTTATCCTGTTTACTTGTGTTGTATTAAGGATCCAATGTTTTAGCATCAGTTCCAGCCAGCTACCTGAATTCTTTTTTTTTTAATTTAATTTTATTTTATTTGTGAACATACTGTACAGAGGGGTTACAATTGCATGGGCAGGATAATGCGTACATTTCTTACCAAGCATTGCATCCTCCTCCTTTGTTTATCCTTCACATCCCTTCCCAGCCTCCCCCCTCCCCCCCTACCTGAATTCTTAAAATAACCTGTTATTAATGTATTATTAGTATTAATACTACAGAAATGTGGTTAATGTGAGCTTATTATCATTGCCTCTCTGGTCAAAACTACTTTTGTCATCTTCAGTTTGATGTTCATGGACTAATTTCTTTTTCCTCTAATTATAGCTCTCTGCTCTGAGTCTGATGTGTTCAGTAATACTCTTGATCCATTAAGTGAGATAGAGTGGAGTTCAGCAACAAAGCTGCTAAGTGAGGTAACGATGTATTTTACAGGCCATTTCCTTATCTATCTTCTTGAAATTTGCCTGTATCTATGATTTTGTTAAAGTATTCCTGTTTCAATTTGGGAAATGCTGTGAGGGTAAGACTATATTAGTAATGCCAAAATTCTCAGGCATATAGTAGAAGAATGATACACCAGAGAGGTAAAATAATAATTGCCACATTACAAATGTATGTAGATAGTTCAAGTACTTTATTGTTTAAGAATAACAGTAGGGCTGGGAATATGGCTTAGTGATAGAGTGCTTGCCTAGCATGCATGAAGCCCTGGGTTCGATTTCTCAGTACCACATATATAAAAAAAGCTGAAGTAGTGCTGTGGCTGAAGGGGTAGAGTGCTAGCCTTGAGCAAAGAAGCTCAGGGACAGTGCCCAGGCCCTGAGTTCAAGCCCCAGGACTAGCCAAAAAAAAGGAATAAATAATAAAGTGACAAGGAGAAGGTCTATATTTTAAGTGCTGACATACACTATTATAGGCTTAATTACCTTTTTAGTGTGAAGAGAGTCCATGAATAAGGGATCATAGATAGGGACTGGCGGTGCAATCTTACCAAAACTAAGAAATAAGGAATACTTGCTAAACACATTCAATAAACCATGTTCACTTTCCAGGTTGCTCATGGCCAAGATAATATAGTATAGTCATGTAAATCTATTCATTAAAAGCATTTAACTTTAGAATATAATTACATTGCTTCCTCCTTTTCCTTATTACTGTTAGTTGATGACTGTATGGTATCAAAGATAGTGTTTTTGTGTTTTTTAAAGGCATATTCTAGGACTATTGTTTTTTTTTTTTAATTTTCTAGTTCAGGCTTTTAAAAAAACAACAGTTTATCTCTTTCTCATAATGATATGCAAAATAGAAATGAGTTTTCCTTAAAAATGGTGTGGCAAACATTGCCACCATTAGAATTTTAGATCAGTAATACTATTTCTTTTCCTAAATTTAGAGCCATGTAAGAAATAAGTCAGATTGGTAAACAATTGAATAGCTAGCTTCTTCCCTATATTGATGCTACTTTTCCCAAGTGGACTTTTCCTGTCCACTAGGGATATACAGATTTGTGATTTATTTATATACTCCTTTCAAAATAAACCTGTGTTTGAAGTTAGCAAGTTTAACAAAATATAAACCATTGAAAGAGACCTAAAAAGAATGACTTAAAACTACCAAGTGGTTCAGAGTTAAATTAATTATTCAAATTAGTGTAAGTTTTAGTGAAAGAAAGAATGCATGATTTGAAACCCCACTAATTAAAATTTGTGTTTATTCTAGGAGAACTTAGAAAGTGAGTTAAACTCATTCCGTGCAAAATATGATGACCTGATATTAGACTATGAACAACTAAAAAGAGAAAATGAAGAAATGAGTTTGAAATTGAAAGAAAAAAGTGATTTGGATGAGTTTGAGGCTCTAGAAAAAAAAACTGGAAAAGATCAAGAGGTAAGAATGTGAAGCTCAAAACTAAATTCTTTAAAAAGTGCATTCTCTTAAATACGTTTGTAAAATTGAATCTTAAAGATTAACTGCTTTTATATTAGTATAAAGTATTTAGGGAGTTTAGAATCTATATTATTTTAAAAATAATGAAATTGTATTTATTTTTATCATGTGTACATTGGAGGAGGACTGGAAGTATCTGGAGGGTTTAGTGGACCTATCTGTTGATAGATTTGTCTTGGGTAAATCATTTTTTTATTCTTCGTGATTATTAAGATTTAACTTATTTTATCAACATTTAATTTATTGAGTGTGTGCTTTAAGTGCTAACTCTTTCCTATTGAGAACTAGACGTTGAATTTCAATGTCTAGTTTGTTGTTTTATGTATTAATGCTACACACAAATTAATTTCTATTGTTATTTTTAGAAAATGTATTCCTAAATATATTAAATATTACCAGAATAACTAGAGAAGCTGACTTATGGAATGAACCAAGTCACTTAAGTTTTCTAAGTATATAATACTACCCTACATATTAATAGAATCTAATTCAGAAACCATAAGAAAACTTAAAAATTGTCCTAAGACTTCAGGGGCTCTTCAAATCTTTATTTAAATATTACCTTTAATTGGATCTCACAGACACTATAAAATTATTTTTCAGCAATGTGCTTTATAGCAGTCACTAGAAAATGTGGGAATATTCTCTATTGAAAGACATAGAAATATTAATCTCAAGAAAGCTGAGCTAGACTGG